TTTCGAATTGTGTGTTATACTGCCTTCTAGAAATTAAAATTTTGTGCTGTAAATGATACCATCAAGAAAGTGAAAAGGCAACCAACAAAATAGGATAAAAGATTTACAAATCACATATGTGATGGCAAGGGACTAGTATCCAGAGTATATATACTCTGGATAATTCTTAGACTTCAGTAAAAAGACAAATAACCCAGTATGGAAATAGGCAAAGGATTAAATAGACATGTGCCCGGCTGGTGTGTCTCAATGGTTGAGCATCAACCCATGTACCAGGAAGTCACCAGTTTGATTCCCAGTCGGGACACATGCCTGGGTTGTGGGCCTGATCCCCAGTGGGGGCATGTGAGGGGCACCTGATTGATATTCTCTCTCATCAATGTCTCTATCTCCCTCCCTCTCCCTTCCTCTCTCTCTAAAATCAATAAAGAAAAAAAATTTTTAATGTATTTGAAAAGAGTATACAAATAGCAAATAAGCACATGAAAAGGTGCTCAACATCATTAGTCATTAGGAAAATGTCAATCAAAACCATAGAGATCCCACTTCACACCCACTACAATGGCTATAATAAAAAAGACAGACAAGAACAAGTATTGATGAGGATGAGAAGAAATTGAAAACTTCATACATTGCTGGTAGGATTATAAAAGGGTACATCTGCTTTGGAAAAACAGTTTGTCAACTCCTTAAAATATTAAACAGAGTTACCATATGAGCCAGCAATTCTATTCCTGGTTACCTATCCAATAGAAATGAGAACATATATCCACACAAAAACTTGTACACAAATGTTCATAATAACTAGTCTAAAAGTGGAAACAACCCAAATGTCATCAACTGAGGAATGGATAAATAAAATGTGGTACCTCTATCCAATGGAATATTATTTAGCCATAAACAGGAATAAGTACCAATGCATGAACTTTGAAAACATGCTAAGTCATAAAAGACCATATATTGTACAATTTCATTTATATAAAATATCCAGAATCAGCAAATCTGTAGAAACAAAAAGTAGATTATCATTGCTTAGGGCTGGCGGTGGAAGGGTAGAGAGAGATGGAAAGTGACTACTAATGGATACAGCATTTCTTTTAGGGAGGCCAAAATTTCCTAAAATTAGGTGGTTGCATAACTGTAAATATACTAAAAAACATTGAATTATATACTTTACCTGGGTGAATTATATGGTATGTAAATTATATCCCAAAAAAAGCTGTTAAAAATGAATAATATTTTGCCATATCAATCTCCAGTTGGGGCTGCTGTTCTTAAATACTACCACCTAAGAAATACCTCACTTCTGTAACCTGCACTGAAGATCTGTTGTCATGTCTGTTGCTGCCTTAGGTAAGGCATATATCTTTATATCTCCAATGCCTAGCAAACTTAGTAGCCACCCAAATATTTCTTGAACTGAAATGACAACAGTATTGCAGATAGTTTAAGAGAGAAAACATTAACCAGTCATTATTTTCAAAGACTTGGCCTCCTCTACTATTTACAAAGCATTGTCAAATACATTACCTCATTTAAATCTAAAAGCAACCTTGTGAAATTAGTATGATTGTTACAGCCATTTTACAGAGAAGGAAACTAACTCAGAAAAGTTAATCTCCAGATTTACATTGCCAGACATGAAAGCCAGGCCCTTTCCACTATACTTCACAGCCCCTCACATCCCTACATTCATAATAAGGTCCCTGATCACTGATGGCAGGCCACTACAGATGGTTTACAGCCTCTGAGTTTGTCTCATTTCAGAGTCAAAGAGAAATTATCCTTTTGGTTACCCATTTTATTAGATTGGCTTGCACAGTCAAGAGTTAAACCCATCAGTAGAGGCATAAAATAGAAGTCAACAATCAGTTTTTCTCAGTTTCTGTGTTTTGTCGCAAACATTTCTGGAGGTTAGAAAAATTGATTCTTATGATCAGATGCTGATTCATACTGTGCCTGTGATTTTATTTATTTTGTTCTGAAGAAATGGGTAATAAGCCTATTTGCTTGCTGTTCCCTGTGGCTAAGCTAGTTCTGCAGCACAGCAGTTGCAGAAATTCAGTTCAGCAGATATTTACTGACTTGCTTTTAATGTACCAGGCAGTTTGAAAGGAGCTGGGGAGATCTCTGTCCTTATTCTCAGAGGGTCCATAGTATTTTCCAGGTTCTTTAATTATGGTATGCAATCATTCTTTTGGGAGGATGTGGATTAGTTTGCTTTTATATTTTGGTAAAATATAGTCCCTCTCTCAGAAAGTTGCTATCTAAAGTATAAGAATTTTTTGTTGGTTGAAGGTACAGAAAGAAAAGAAATGACACAAATGTTTAGAACTCAACTGTGATACAAACTGATCTTTCACTTCAGAGCCAGCCATGTTGGATTCAGAGTTTGATGGCATTTCATCCCCTCACAGATCAATAGAATCCATTTATAGACTCTAAATAAAAGCATGAGGATTTACACAATTGAAATTCAGCTTCCTCTCCGCTCACATTTGCCAAGTCATCACATTTCTGCATCTTGTGAATTTATTTTAAAATGCTAGAAGTAATATGCCAACATTACAGAAGTGATGCTCAATAGAGGAAAAAAGCAGAGTAAAACTAGTCACCTCAAATGTCACTACCCTGATCCTGAAAGGCAGCTGGATCTTGCACCTCAATCTCCTCATCTGTAAAATTGGAAATAATTTGACTAAACGAGATAGCAAATGTAAAGCACACACACCCACAAAAGCCCACAATAAATGTGAATCTCATTAGAACAAAAATAGCCATTTTTATATAATCCCTTTGTCTTGTTTTTCCTGGGTTTTTTTTTTTTTTTTTACAAAGTTGTTGTCTTGTATTTTTGTATCCTGTTTTCTTATGTGCTCATTTTCCATCTTGCTCTTTGTGATTACTATAATTTTTAATAGTTGTAAACTGCTTTGTGGTAAGGTAAAGGTGTACTATCATAGCATCTCCATCCCCCTGTTGGACATGTCCGTTGCTTCCAGTGCTTCAATATTATAAATAGTGCTTTGGTGAACAGTTGTATGTATGTAGTATATTCACTTAGCTCCTGGGAAATCTTAGGCAGTTCACTTCATCTCTGTGTCTTTGTTGCCTTGGTGCTAGATGGGGTTATACCAGTATCTACCTGAGAGGATAGTTGTGTGGGTTAAGTGAGGTAATTCAGCAAAGCACTTGGAACAGTGCCTGGCCTCTGTTTGGGTTTATTTCTTTCGGCTTGTTCTCCAAAGGTGGGGTTTTAGCAGTTTATTATGTCAACAGTAGTCATCCCAGGTTTTAACTATTTCCCTTTAAAATAACAGTTAAAAAACAGTTCTTCCATATTTGAGCAGCTTGTTATGACCAGAATTCACTTCTGCTCATTGCTCTGAAGAGTTAGACCTCATGTCACAAAGGTTGGGTTTCAGAGACTATTTGTAAGTTTTCTTGAGTTTTCAATCCCCAGCTGCTTTCCACCAAATTGTAGCATAAGTTGGTCTTAAAAACCAGGCATATTTTATTTCATACTGAGGTACATACTATGGGTATCCTTTCATTTTTTTATAAGACAGACCAACAGTTTGCATTAGGAATATCTGTTGTGGCACGTAACTATTTTGATTATTCCTCCCTGTCCGTCCCCCTCCCCCCAAAATCGACAAGGGTAATCATTTGTTCTGGTTTGCCCAGTTTGTACTTGTCCTGGGTGGAATTATTCATAGTGCCCCCTTCACCCTCAAAAGTGACCTCATTTGGATGATAAATTGTCACCTTGTCCCAAGGATTCCTCCACAGCTGGTACAATGTCTGCCTGCACTTGTTACCTCATTGCTCCCCTAGACAACTTTCTGTCTGTCCAACAAAGGTTTCAGCCATGTTGCTTTCACCAAACTTCACCTAGGAGGTCCTCATATGTGCTCAGTCTTGAATTAACGTCAGCCTAATAGGCATTCATGCAAGTTTTCCCATTTTATCACCTTCCCCCCCCCCCATATCTTGATGATAATTATCAGTGGCATAGGCAGGACAGGGCACTTTACATTTGTTTCAAACGTTGCTTTGTCCTTCAGAATTATTTATTTTGCAGCTTAATTCATTCCACGGGTAAATATGCCATTTCTCATTTTTTTTCCACTTAAAATTTAAAAAATTAGCCCTGGCTGAATGGCTCAGTTGGTTGGAGCGACATTCCATGCACCAAAGTGTTGTGGGTTTGATTCCCAGTCAGGGCACATATCTAGGTCCCCTGTTAGGGCTTATACAGGAGGCAATTAACCAATGTTTCTCACATTGATGTTTCTCTCTCTCTCTCTCCCCCCTCTCTCTCTTCCTCTCCCTCTCCTTCCCTTCCTATCTCTCTAAAATTAATAAAAATGTATCCTCGGGTGAGCATTAAATATATATATTTAAAAAATAAAATTTTCAAAATTATATCTGCTTTCAATCTCATCTTAAATGTAAACAAGATTCTAGGACTTTTAACACTACTGCTCTTGCCCTTATCAGATATAATAAGGTGTTCATATTCCTAAAGCACCTCAAAAGCCCTCATGCAAGCACAGCAAACAGGTCCAAGCTGAGTGGGCAGTAACAAGGACATGTCTGAGGTGGTTCACACAACCCTCATCTCCGTGCTTGGTCACAGGCAGAGTTTTGTTCACAGGCAGAGTTTTGTTCACAAGGTGAAAATTTGTAAGTACAGAAGCTTCTGTCTTGGAAAAACAAAAACAAATCAGCTTCTCAATGATGATTACCTTTTGTACTTAGGTAACTATATTTTAACTGTCATAAAGGACTTTATGATTTGAAAGACTTTCTTTCCCCCCAAACAAGTGCTTGCATTCCTTGGGCAATGTGTTCACAGTTTTAAGGAGGAAAATGAAATGTTTTGAATGAGGGATGCTGCCAACTTGAACTAGTGCAGGACCAAAGTGGGACTGTGGTCCATGGGTCAGTATGTGGATTATCAATGGAAAATGTGTTTTTCCTTTTGTTTTAACCAGGCGACTTTCGGATGGTGGTTGGAGAAAATAAGACAAAAGTGTTGAATATTGTAAAGCCCAACATAGCCCACTTTCGTGAGCTGTATGGCAACATACTACAGGAGAATCCACAAGTGGTGTATAAAATCCAACAAGGCAGACTGGAGGTAACTGTGGAAAATAACTTATACCATTTCTAAGGAAAGATCTATTTTAAGGGGGAAAAGAAAGTAAGAGTTAGAACAGTATAACTAGTGTGATGACATATTTTTAAAAGTAAATTTTATATATAAACATGTTCTGTATATTTGGAATAATGAGGGGAGAAAAAAGGTAACAAAAGAGACTGATAATAAGAGACCACCTTTGGAGAAGGGAACCAGGGCTGACTTGGAAGCTCTGCTTGCCTTCACCATATATATCTCTTTTACCATTTGAAATTCTTACTATGCATATTAATTGTCAATCAAAAACAAGTGAAAATAAACTCTCAGATTACCTTCTTTCTGTCCCCAATCTCATTTGCCTCCCCAGAGGTAACCTTTCTGATAGTTTGACATTTATTCTTCCAGATTTTTTTAATGCATTTTTGTAGATATTTGTACCTGTAAAGGTGTGAACGGTTTGTTCATTTTTTGTTTGATTGGTTTGGTTTTACATAAATGGACTCATGCGTATTATCCTGAAGCTTGTTTTTATGCCCCATTCGTTATATTATGTCTTAGAACTCTTCTTTTGATACATTAAATGAAACTTTCTTTCAAGGTATTTTTAAAGTAATATTAAGTATTTAAAAATTAATATTAAAGAACTTTTCCTTTGAGAAAAATAATTTAGTATTAGATTTTTTTAAACTATAGAAACCTTGGTGCTTTGTTTTGTTTTTTAGGATAAAGGACATTGTATTTTACCTTTTTTTTTTTAATCCTCACCTGAGGATATTTTTCTGTTTATCTTCAGACAGAATGGGAAGGAGAGAGAGGAAGAAAGGAGAGAGAGATAAACATCGATGTTAGAGGGACATATCGATTGGTTGCCTCCCACACGACCCTGACCAGGTCCGGGAACAACCACAACCGAGGTACGTGCCCTTGGCCGGAATCGAACCCGTGACTCATTGGTCCATGGACTGATGCTCTTCCGCTGAGCCAAACCGGCCAGCGCTGTATTTTAACTTTTTATGTTCTTCTTCCAAATAATAGGATCAAGTAATATTATATTGAATAAAAAATTAATGGAATTTTTATAACTGAAAGGGAATTTTTTAAAATAAGAATTATTTTAAACATAAGGAAAGGCCCTGGCTGGTTTGGCTCAGCGGTTAGAGTGTCGGCCTGCGGTCCAGAGAGACTGGGTTTGGTTCCCACTAAGGGCACGTACCTTGGTTGCAGTTTGTCCCCAGCCCTGGTTGGGTCATGCGGGTGGCAACCACTCAATGTGTCCCTTTCACATCGATGTTTCTCTCTCTCTCTCTCTCTCCACTCTATCTCAACAAAATATTGAAAAATGTCCTCGGGTGAGGATAAAAGAAATAAAAATAAAAACAATAAACATAAGGAAAGAATAGAATACATATCATGAAATGCCCAGAATATCCACTACACTGAGCAAACTTTTCCATGTTTGCTTCAGATTGAGGATTTTTTTTTTTGTTTTTTATGTTTGTTTGTTTGTTTGTTTGTTTTATCCTCACCCGAGGATATTTTTCCATTTTTTGTACAGATAGAGTGGGAGGGAGAGAGAGGAAGGGAGAGAGAGAGAGAAACATCGACGTGAAGGGACACATCGAGTGGCTGCCACCCGCACGACCAACCAGGGCCGGGGACAAACTGCAACCGAAGTATGTGCCCTTAGCGGGAACCAAACCCGGGTCTCTCCGGACTGCAGGCCGTCACTCTAACCGCTGAGCCAAACTGGCCAGGGCGATTTTTTTGTTTTTAATTGGCACTTTTCTCAAAATAATACATGTACATGGTTTAAAAAACAAATAGTACCTCAAGGTTTATAACGAAAAGTTAGAGTTCCCTGCTATGTTTCTTCCTACATCTCAGTGCTACTCCCTAGAGGTAGCTGCTCTCATCTCATTAGCTGATTCTTTTTTTTTTTTTTTTTTTATTGTCACCCAAGGACTTTTTTTTTTTTTTTTTCATTTATCTTGAGCTAGAGTGGGAGGGAGAGAGGGAGGAAGAGAGAGAAAGAAATATCGATGCGAGAGAGACACATCGAGTGGTTGCCACCCACACAACCCCAACCAGGGCCGGGGACAAACTACAAGCCAGGTATGCACCCTTAGCGGGAACCGAACCCAGGCTTCTCCAGTCTGCGGGACGACGCTCTAACCACTGACCAAAACCGGCCAGGGCTCATTCGCTGATTCTTCTGATGTCTACTTCTGTATTTCTAAATAATGATTTGACTGTCATTTCTTGACTTTTAAAAAAATTTTGTACTGCCCTGGCCAGTTTGTCTCAGCGGTTGAGCGTCAGCCTGCGGACCAGAGAGTCCCGGGTTCAGTTTCCGCTAGGGGCACATACCACCAAAAAAAAAAAAAAAAATTTGTACTTTATTTTTGTCATCACCTGTGACAGATGAAGATATTCTACTGTATGCCACCCTCATCAACACACACAGGCACACACTTTCTCACCTCTCTTCCTCTTGCTCCACATATAGCTATTTCATGATTTTTGGTTACATTAATATTCAATATTGAATTTATTATGACAACTTACTGCTGAGATAGTACTATGAAATTTTCTTTCCTGTACAACTTGGGTTTTTTTTTTGGAATTAATAATTGTCTCATTTTTTTTACTTGCTGGATTTTATTCATGCCCGTCACTAGTTCATCCTCATATTCGTACAATTCTGTAAAACTTCTCCTGTTATAGATGAACTTATTGGGAATTTTCTGTTTCTTGTTTTTCTTGGGGACATTTTCATGGAACCTTGTATCCCCCCTTTTTTTCTGAGGCTTTGCTAACTATTTTCCTTTTTGTTTTTGTTAATCCTCACCCGAAGATATTTTTCTATTGATTTTTAGATAAAGTGTTGGAAGAGAGGGGTGGGGGGAGAGAGAGAGACATTGATTTGCTGCCTCCTGCATGGCCCTGACCAGGGTTGAGGATCAAACCTGCAACCCAGATACATGCCCTTGACCAGGAATTGAACCTTTGACCCTTCAGTTCATGGGCCAACACTGTAACTGTTGAGCCAAACCAGCCAGAGCATCCTGGAACTTCTTTTCATTATCATCTTGAGAAATTTTTGCTTCTCCCCTTTGCTAGTTTTTTATTTTCTGCATCTTTTATCTTCTTTCTTGGTTATACTTTAATTTTGATGAAGTATACCTTTCTAACATAGGTTATGAGGGAAGTAAATTTTTTAAGACCATGTAAATCAGAGAATTTTACCCTTGCAGTGATTGACAGTTTGGAATAAATATCAAAATTTAGGTTGAAAATAATTTTCCCTCAGAATTTTTAAATTATAGCTTCATTTCTTTTAGTTTCTAGTGTTGCATTAAAAAGTCTATAATGATATTCAGATTCCCTGTCCTTTGGATGTGACCTTTTTATCTCTCTAACATTGTTTAGGATGTTTTCTTTTCCCAGTATCCATACATTTCATGATGATATGCCTTTGTTTTTTTATATGTCTTTTCTTTTTCATTTAGTATTCTAGTACTTCATGAGCTTTTTAAGTCTGGACTTTATGACTTTCAACTGTAAGAAATTTCCTTTTATTATTTATGTAATAAATTTTTTTTTTTTTAATCCTCACCCAAGGACATTTTTTGATATTTTGTTCAGATAGAGTGGGAGAGGGAGAGAGAGAGAGAAACATCGACGTGAAAGGGACACATCGAGTGGTTGCTACCCGCACGACCCAACCAGGGCCAGGGACAAACTGCAACCGAAGTATATGCCCTTAGCGGGAACTGAACCCAGGTCTCTCCAGACCGCAGGCCAACGCTTTAACCGCTGAACCAAACCCATCAGGGCTGTAATAATGTCTTTATGTCCACTTCTTTTTTTTTAGTTTAGTCTTTCTGACATTCCTGTTAGGTGTTTGTTGGACCTTCTAGTTTGATCTCTTTTTTTTTTTCTTTCCTCTTGCTTCCTTGGGTTTTTGTTTTGTTTTTCTGCTTTTCGGAAGAACTTTTCAAAGTGATCATCTGATACTTCTATCAATATTTTAATTTCCTCTGAATGTTCTTTTTATATCACGTTCTATTCTGTTTTATGAATTTATTATCTTTCCTTATTTCTTTAGTGATTTTATTTGTTTATTTTAGAGAGAAGAAGGGAGGGAGAGAGAGAGAAACTTCAGTGTGAGAGAGAAACATCAATCAGTTGCCTCCTGCACACGCCCTGACCTGGGATCAAACCTGTAACCTTGGTATGTGCCCTGACCAGGAATTGAACCCTCCACCTTTTGGTGTATAGGATGATACTCCAACCAACTAAGCCACACCAACCAGAGCACATTTTGCTTTTTTCTTAGTAGTGATAGGTATAATATGCAATAAGTTGATCTTTACTTTGGAGAGGACGTCCCAGCATGCTCCAGACCACTTGACCTCTAAAAACTTCACTGATGCGATAGGCTCTTGAAACTTCATAGGGTTTATCTTCTACCCTCTGGAGTGCACATATCTACCAAGGCTTCCAATGTACCTGCCCCTTGCTGTCATCAGGTGATAGTAGCAACATAACATTGATGTAGTGAACCAACATGAGATTATACAGAATGTGCAGATAGTCTAGTTTCCTTTGAAAATCTTTAGACAAAGGATAGATGAGTTAACATAGCCCTAATGGCTGTCCCATATGAATGTGAGCTGCTTCTGATCCTCTTTCCTAATAGGAATAGAAAAGAATGCACTCACCTGGTCTGTGACTCCATCCAGATACCTGTAGTTCTGTTGATCTGCTCTAGCAGGTTTACCACCTCTGGCACAGTAGATGTAATTGGGTCTTCTACCTGGTTGATTCTGTGGTAGTCTACTGTGATCTGAAGAGTCTACTATAGTCTACAGAATTCATTTGGATTTTGTGAGGTCCAGGCTTAATGGAGATATGATAGGAACCATCAACCCTTGTATTAGGGTTCTCCAAAGAACCAGAAACAATTGGAGAGAGAGTTAGATTTATTTTAAGGAATTAGCTCACATATTTGTGGAGGAGCTGACAGGTTTGAAATTTGCAGGGCAAGCTGGCAAGCAGGAGACCCAGGGAAGAGTATGTGGTAGTCTTGAGTCTGAGAGCAATCTGGAAACAGAATTCCTTCTTCCTCAGGAGGTTTTTAGTCTTTTTTTCTTAGGGTCTACCCACATTATAGAGGGTATTCTACTTTATTCAAAGTTTACTGACTTAAATGTTAATTACATCTAAAATATACCTTTATAACAACATCTAGACTAATATATATATATATATTTTTTTATCCTCACTCAAGGACATGTTTCCATTTTTTGTTCAGATAGAGTGGGAGGGAGAGAGAGGAAGAGAGAGAGAGAGAAACATCGACGTGAAAGGGACACATCGAGTGGCTGCCACCTGCACAACCAACCAGGTCTGGGGACAAACTGCAACCGAGGTACACACCCTTAGCGGGAACTGAACCTGGGTCTCTCTGGACCGCAGGCCAACGCTCTGACCACTGAGCCAAACCGGCCAAGGCTAGACTAATATTTAATCAACCTACTGGACACCGTAGCCTAGCCAAGTTGACACATGACATTAAACATCACACGCCTGCATCTTTTAGACCTACAGATGACACTAATCTCTGACATATCTCTCAGGATGTTTTTATTTTTTAATTACTCTTGACTAGGGGATAAGAATGGCAGTTTCAGAGGTTTCCACTTGGCTTTCCACACTATGACAGCTCCAGAATGCCACCTTAGAAAATACATTCTAGAACCATTCCTGGTACCAGTTATGTAAGATCAGGATTGAAACAGACTTCATCTAATTCCGTGGTGGCACAGTGGAGCTAGATGGCCCTTCCTAGTTGTCCCAACACCCAGCAAAGAGACCAGGCCTTGTATTCCTGCATTTTCCAGTCATTGAATACAAGTAGCTCACTTCAGCTGAGGACAGTTCTGGGAGGGACTCTGAGAAAGTGCCAGCTGCCAGTGGACCCTTTGGCCCTGAAGCCAACATCTGGGTGATGCAACACAGCAAACCACTATCATATAACCATATCTGCTTTATTGAGAAATAATATACATGCCATGATAGTCAGTGGTTTTTAGTATATTCACAGAGTTGTGTAATATATTTACTACAATCTAATTTTAGAACATTCCCATCACTCCAAAAAGAAATTTCATACCCATTAGCAGTTCCTAGCTTCTCCTTCCCCCAGGCTACCACTAATCTATTTTCTGACTTTGTGGATTTACCTGTTCTAGATATTTCATATAAATACAATATGTGGACTTTTCCCACATCTGCTTTTAAAATACACCTTAACTCCCATCCTTTAACTAAATGCTTTCTCTTTCATGTCAGTAAAACGTGAAGAATTGAAGAATAAGGATAATTAGAATTTAACCATTTATTTGAACAGGTCATCTAATTTTGTCTTTTCAACATGTTTCCAAACAAAAATTCCAGTGCATTCTTTTCTGCAAGAGAAAGTAGTAACAAATACTATTTTCTAATTCCTTATAGTACTTAAGCCATTTTGGCATCTCTCAAATTCCTGAAAGTTTTATAGGTCAAGCCTTATAGAAATATATAGTCTTTTTCACTAATCTCAATACTTGTCTCTAAAATATGGGTCTATAAATGTCATTTCTAGTATATTTTATAGAAATGTGTACTTATTTTTGGTCATTCTACAGCCAAAGTTAAGTAGGGGTTGACTTCTGTGAATTTAGAATCATCTTAATGATAAATAGGAAATATTTATGTTAAAAAAAAACTACCTGTGTTGAAGCCACTAAATAATAGCATTTTTTTCTTCTTTGCATAGATTTTATAGATAAAACTAGAAAATCAAGACATTGGCATGTATTCAATAACTATTTGTTGAATAAAAAATGTAGAGCCCAGCCAGTGTGGCTCAGTGGATTGAGTATCATCCCATGGACTGAGAGGTCCCAGTTCGATTCTGGTCAGGTCACGTGCCCAAGTTGCAGGCTTGATCCCCAGTAGGGGCTGTGCCAGAGGCAGCTGATCAATGTTTCTCTCTCACATTAATGTTTCTCTCTCTCTCTCTACCTTCCTCTCTCTCTAAAAAATTAATAAAAACATATATTTTTTTTATTTTTATTTATTTATTTATTTAAATCCTTACCTGAGGATGTTTTTCTCTTTATCTTTAGACAGAGTAAGAGGGAGAGAGAGAGAAAAACATTGACATGAGAGAGAGACATTGACGGTTGCCTCCCGCCCAACCCCAGCCAGGGCCAGGTACTAACTAACTGCATCTGAGGTCTGTGCCTATGGCTGGAATCGAACCCGTGACTCACTGGTCTGTAGGCCAACGCTCTACCACTGAACCAAACTGGCCAGGTCTAAAAACATATTTTTTAAAGTGTGATAGAATGAGTGAATTCTAATTAAGAAAGTTGGTTGTATCTGGAAAATCTGAATCTAAAACTTAGTACATTCATTTGTCTCATTGTTTCCTTACTAGTCTCTTAAAGTTAAAACCAAACATTTATTTAAAAGCATACAAGAAAAATTCTTACTTGGAAAATAATGTGAAGAGCTGTTGAGGGAAATGTTATTGGTTCTCAATTTGGCAGGCAGTCAGTGTTTACATGATTTTGTAAAAATTTAGTTCCGTGAAGTAAAGTGTATTAGACTAGAAGTTAGGGAAACCAGGTGTGGCCCCAGCTCTGTGGCTAACTTTTGATTCAAAAATTTCCAAGTGCAGTCTGGTGCATAGTTCTATATGTTTTATTTCTGTATTTACCTTTCAATTTGATATATTTTAGAATATGTTGGGAACAGAAACCACGGGTGTAACTTCTGTTTAAGAAAAAATGACAACTAAGGTTTATTGATGCAGTTACTCATTACTTTATTCAACCAATGTTGTTGTTTTTTATCCTCACCCAAGGACATTTTTTTTTTTTGCATTTATCTTCAGATAGAGTGGGAGGGAGAGGGGGAGGAGAGAGAGAGAAACATCGATGTGAGAGAGACACATCGAGTGGCCGCCACCCACACGACCCCAATTGGGATCGGGGACAAACTGCAACTGAGGTACGTGCCCTTAGTGGGAACCAAACCTGGGACCCTCTGGTCCAAGGGCCAATGCTCTAACCGCTAAGCAAAACCGACCAGGGCCAACCAATTTTTTTTAGTGTTCGTACTCTGTGCCAGGGGATTAAAAGTAATTATGATTAGTTCTTATCATCACTTTATTCCTACAGTTTATGAAATACAGCATGGTATGTAAGAGACCCTAAAGTCAGGAGACAAAGATTTAGATCCCAATCTCTCTTATTGGCTCCATGATCTTGGCTACATTACTATGTCTTTGTGTTTAAAATAAAAGAATTTGAGTGCCTGGATTTGAGGGGCTTCAGTGACTGTTAGCTACAGCCTTCCTTTAATGTTGAATTTTAGATAAATAGAAATTTTAAAACAGGATCAGAAGTCAATCCTTGAAAGAGGCATTTCTTCTTTTCTCTGTAAAAATGGAATATTATAAGGAGAGAATTGGCTTTTTTGAAGGAATTTAGAAACCTGAACGCTTATGCATTTAATTTCAGAAAGGAGACTGTCTCCTTAGCATGCTGTCTGGTCTAGCATATGGGTTCAAATATATTTGAATGACTTTAAATAGAAGCCATGGGGCCCTGGCCCGGTGGGTCAATCAGTTGGAGCGTTGTCCCATACACCAAAAGCTTATGGGTTTGATCCTCAGTCAGGGCACATACAGGAAGCAACCAATCAATGTTTCTCACATCGATGTTTCTCTCTCTTGCTCTCTCTCCCTTCCTTGCTCTAAACATATCCTCAGGTGAGGATTAAAATAAATAAAGAGAAGCCACAGTTTTTTGAATATTTATGGAATTCAAAGTACTTTCCATCGACATCATTTTTTTTAATTCCTTAGATAGATAAAAGCCCAGAAGGACAATTCACTCAGCTAATGACATTGCCCAAAACCTTACAGCAACAAATAAATCATATTATGGACCCTCCTGGAAAAAACAGAGATGTGGAAGAAACTTTTTTACAACTTGCTCATGATCCTGACTGTGGAGAGGTGGTACGACTAGGTATGTTTATGAATTTGATGTTGAGGAAGTATTGGCTGTGGGTAAAAGCAAAATTTGTGATATATTCTTTATTCTTTCTTACCTGGAGAGATCAGGGGATAGATTGCTTCTAGGAAGAAGAAAGTACTAACAATCTGGGGGTTTCCAAATTTACATTTTCATTTGTTTGAAGTGGGGTGGTATAAAAGTATTTATATTTTCAAATTCCTGGGTCCTAAATCACTGTCAAAGGGGGAAAACAATGTTTCTTTTGGTCCCAAGAGCATACTTCAAAGACAAGTCTGAGAAGGAAGGAGACTGGTGACATTTTTAATGCTTTTATAATATCAGGAACACAGCTTTTATCAGATAACATTAAAAACACAGTTTTCATCAGCCAACTCCCATTCAGTAGTTCTCATAGTGTGTTTGGTAGGTACCCTCTGGCATGGCCTATGTTCTCTACACATTATCCCCAGGGCTTCCCTAATATTTACCAAAAAATGTGAAGCTTATCTTCAGAGACCCACTTCCCTTTGAGGTGTTAAAGGTAATTTATGAGGTCAGTCAGTAAAGAAATAATTTTGAAATTGAAAATGACTCCCTCCTCAGATGAGTGCATTCTCCTATTTTATTGACTAAGTACTTAACCCTCCAAGGTGCAAGCCACAGTGCTAGATGTTCACCGTGACAATGTTGAACATTAGCTGCAATAGGTGGGCACCATGCACACTCTCCCAGGGACCTGCCCCAGGTTGTAGGAGCATATGTTTAGGTCACCAGATACCTATTCTGAAGATAAATATGGAGGCGTGTCCTTTGTTTGTTGTTTTTTATTTTAACATGATTGTAGTCACGGTGTGATCGCTGCTGCCTTTCACAGGGCATGAGGAACTGTACTGTTGATCCTCACTGTGGGAGTCCTCTGTGTGTGTTTTCAGAATGAACGTTTTATTCCTGGGCAGAAACATTTGGTTTTTGTATTTGGGGGTTTGTTTGGTTTTTTAATCTTTTTACATCTTGGAATTGAGAACCAGCAGCCTTAAGGAGATTTAAAGTCATAAAATGACCTTTGAAGGTCTCCTAGCCCACCTTGTTTTAAGGTGAGGAGGCCCAGGCCCACAGGGGTCAGTCGTTTGCCTGTGCTCATATTGCTGGTCGGTGACACAGCTGGCAACTCCAGAGTCCTGGCCCTCAGTCCTGATACCTTTTTCACTGTCATTCTGTGACACCAGGAAGAGATAGGTTTGCTAGTTTTATTGGACAACTGAAAGAATATTTAGTTTCAGGCTTTAAAAGTGTTGCGATGACTAACATCTGGCTCTTTTGGCATCCTTGTTGTTTTCCTCATAGGGCTTTCAGCAATCGTGAGACCTTCTAGTCTGAGACAGAGCACCAAAGGCATTTTCACTGCTGGTAAGAGCTTGGAAAATCCGTACTTAATGAAGCTGCTGGATTGAGTGGCCTCAGCACCCCTGGTTAAAATGTAAAGCTTTGTCTGTATCCAGCAAGTACTTGTGACATGCTGAATTTTGATGGTCATAAACTAGGATATTGCAATAATGTACAGACAGGCAGGCAGCACTATAATCTGGTCGTCTAAAAAAGTCAAACCATATGAGGTACTGTTGGAAGGCTTTACTGCCCCTCTAAGTTTTCTGAATAACTCCTTGTATGCAGGTTTTTCCCTCATGTTTTTATTTATGAAAGGTACACATGCATATTGTTGCAGAAACAGCAGTACCTTGCCCTTCTCCCCCACTTCCCCTCTCCAGAGACAACCACTTCCAACACTCTTAATGGGTTATTTTAGTTTTCACTGCCAGTTCACTAAAAAATAAGTTTGTATTACTGCTTTTTTGCTTTTCAGTTTTAGGCATTATCTGTTGACCTCTCACCATGGTAGATTTGAATTCAACTCTTCACCCAACCTCAGCACACACACTCTGTCCTCCTAATACAGTTACATTGCACCTTTGGGAAGTCGGTCTTCAGAGTTTACACTATATGACTAGGTTATTGAGATTCATAGGTAAGCCACAGAAAACACTTTTCCTTCTTCAACTTCCTTTGCCCAGAGAGATGGTCTTTATCTGTTTCATGTGAGGGGTTTAGGGGTACCTTCTTTCCTGTATCTTTTTTTTTTTAAATCTTCACTCGAGGATACTTTTCCATTTACCTTCAGATAGACTGGGAGGTGGGGGGGGGGGAGAAACATCGATGTGAGAGAGACACATCGATTGGTTACCTCCCACACAACCCCAACCAGGGCCAGGACCGGGGACAAACCACAACCAGGTATGTGCCCTTGACTGGAATTGAACCCACTACTCTGGTCTGCAGGCCGACGCTCTAACCCCTGAGCCAAACCAGCCAGGGCCTTTCCTGTATCTTATTCTTCTGTCTTCATGGTGCCACTCTTGTTTTGGTGAAGCACACCGTGCAGTAATTTTTTGAGAAAGGATGCATGGGAGGGAAATTTGGAAACGATCTATGTCTAAATGTATCTTTAGTCTACCCTCCCACATAATTGAGACTTAGGCTGGGGATTGATTGGAAATAATTTTCCTTTAGAATTTTGATATTGCTCCAACTATCTTCTCACTTCTAGGATTACTGTCAAAGTCCCAAGTCATTCTGATTATTAATCCTTTGTGTATGTTCTTTCTGGAGGCCTCTTAGGTCTTCACTTTCCTGCAGGGCACTGATGTGCTTTGATGTGAGTCTCTGTTACGATACTCATTGCTCTTGTAGTTCGGACACTCAGAATATAAAACAATTTTCACTTATTCTTTTTTATTTTCTTCCCATCTGTTTTCTCTTTTCTTTTTCTGGCACTCCTTTTATTCAAATATTGGACCTCCTAGACTAGTCCTTTGGTTTTCTTTCTTTTCTCTCCTATGTTTGATCTCTTTGTCCTTTGGTTGTGCTTTCTGGGAGATTTTCTCAACTTCAGCTTCCAACCCTTCTATTGAGTTTTTTATTTCTGCTATTATATTTTTAATTTCTAGGAGCTCTTTCTATTTTTTGTTGTTGCTGTTCTCTGAATATTCCTTTATTTAAAATTTTAAAACATCCTGTTCTTGATTTATGGGCTTAAGCCTTTGAACATCTTTGGATATTACAAATTGCCCTCCCAAGTGGTTATATCAATCCCTCTAGTACTAGATGAGAGTTCTTGTTTCTCCCCATTCTTTCCAATGCTTGGTGTTGTCAAATGATGGACTTTTCTAGTTCAGTCTTTCTTATTTATTTTTTATTTTTTAACTCTCACCAGAGGATATTTTTCTATTTATCATCAGATAGAGTGTGAAGGAGAGAGAGAGAGAGAAACATTGATGCGAGAGCGACACATCGACCGGTTGCTTCCCACACGACCTGACCAGGGCCAGGGACAAACCACAACCAAGGTACATGCCCTTGACTGGAACTGAACCCACGACTCATTGGTCCAAGGGCCGACACTCTAACTGCTGAGCAAAACTGGCCAGGGCTAGTTCTGTCTGTCTTATATAACCATCTATTTAACATCCCTCATGTTAGCCACACAGTATATAAAGTGAACATGGCCCTGGCCAATTAGCTCAATGGTTAGAGCGCTGGCCTGCGGTCTGGAGAGATCTGGGTTCAGTTCCCCTAAGGGCACATACCCCAGTTGCAGTTTGTCCCCGGCCCTGGCTGGATCATGCGGGTGGCAACCACTTGATGTGTCCCTTTCACGTTGATGTTTCTCTCTCTCTCTACCTCTCTCTCCCTCCCACTCTATCTGAACAAAATATGGAAAAATGGCCTTGGGTGAGGATAAAAAAATTAAATAAATAAATAAAGTGAACATGAAACCATCCTTCCTTGGAGAAGTCCATAGTCTAGAAAGGGACACAGGCATGTAAATAGAAATTTGCAGCAGTACCAGGGCATAAATGGCTCAGAGATAACACAGAGATGGGAGCAGCCTGATTCTGATGCCTGCGTTGAGATTGCCAGGGAGCTGGCATGGTCACGCCTCTTAACGTCTCATCCCAATTGCCTGGATACCCAGCTGACTGTGTTTGGCCCCAAGGACACTGTGTGGCCCTCCTGAATCTTTGGAAAGATTCAAGAAAGAGTAGCAGATGTGCCAGATCTACTCAGCTGAAGATGCTTCTACCACTCAGGGGTACATAGCTTTGCATTTCTCATTAAGATATTTATTTAATCTGTGTTTCTGCTGGTTTATCCTGGCAAGGCAGAAGATGGGGTGCTTTTGTTTGCCTGGGTGTTTCAGGCTATTAATCTGTGTTTTGCATGATTGCAGCTCCCTTTCTATAATCCTCCTTGGGTGGAGCTGAATGCTTTGGGGTTTTTTTGTTTGTTTTCTTTTTGGGGAGGAGGCTAGGGGCTTCCTATGCTATAAAGAATCACTACATTTATTGATGATTTTGTTGTTGTTGTGAGAATGGTAGTATGATGAGGTTTTTAAAAATTCCTTTTCTTGTAGAAATACATACTAAAATATTTACAGATGCAATGACAGGATGTCTTGAGATTTGCTTCAAAATAAAACATGGTGGAGGGAAGTAGGTCAAGAACAGATACACAAGATTGGTCATGACTTGATACATTTTTGAAACTGGATGAAGACACATGGAGATATATTATACTGTTTTTTTGTACATTTGAGTTTTTCTCTAATAAAATGTTTTTCAAAATCAGTCATCATCATCATCTGACATTTCAAGCTGAAAGGAACCTTTGGTCCTCTTTCCACTCATTCTTCCAAGTGACCAGCAGAGGGCAGTGAGTAACACCTCACAGAACACAACCCAGATTTCCTTGTGGCTGTGCAATGAGTGCCCATTGCAGGTTCTCCTGAGTACTTAATGCTTGTTTCTCTTTTCCTTCTAGAGATACCTCAGTGGATCGAGGCAGTCCAGAGTATCAGAATGTCTATAACCTGTACTGAGGTTGCAGAAATTGTGGAAAGTGATGAGCATCCCCTCAGAGTCTATAGGTTTACTTTATGCTCTGGCTTGCCTGGTTTATGATGGGTACGGGCTGATAAGGCAGCCAAAGGGTAGCAGGGGTTTGTGAGCCCCAGAGACTGGGGTTCAAATTCCAAATTAACTAATGTAACGTAAGCAAGTTACCTAGTTTTTCTGAGATTTAATTTCATGGGTATAATTACATTTGCCTTACCAGGCTGTAAAACTTATATCTTAAATATATAAAAGCACCTAGTACTGTGCCTAGTTTTGTGTGTGTGTTGTTGTTGTTTTTCTTTTAGTAACATTACCTAAAAGATTCCAGGCCTCTTTTTAGAACATGGCTCTGCACTGCCATATTCAAATAGCATAGTTTCTTAACCATGTCCCAGCTGCAGTAAACTAGCAGTGGAAGGAACTGAGTGGCCAATTTGCCTGTTTCTTTTCCCTCTGACTTCACAGCAAGCTTCAGAACTTCATCCCCCTGCACTTTGTTCTTTACAAGTCCTCTTGTTGCAGCCATAGCTGTTGTTCTGCCTTGTTTTTGCTAGGGCCGTCTCCCCTAAATCTCCCAAGTTCTACCTCTGTTCAGTTTTTCAGACAGCTGATGTATCATCTGCAGAATGAGAAAACCCCAGTGTATTGGTGAGATTTTATTACTTTGTAGTCATTATCACTCTGCTTCTTTGAAACCTCCTACTCATATATGGGTAAAAAGGAAGGTTCAAAAGCAAATACTCAGTTCAGTCAGGTGGCTAACTGAGGAGCTAAGCTTGGGGTCAGAAACCATTGGCTTGAAGTTGTAATTATTCATTTCTTGGGCCTATAACCTTAGTATGTTAATTAGCCCTTTGCCTTGAAACAATCGGGTTACTCATAACTCGATTCACAAGGTGTCCTGAGAGTGTCCAGTATGTTACCCAGTACCTACCTAGTAGGTGTTTGATAAACTTGAGTGAATCTATTATCTAAATCTCACCTAGAAAAGATGGAAACCAGGCATCTCTAACCAGCTCAGAGGATTGTTCTTTCTCATAAACTGTGTTGGATATTTTGGCAGCGTGTTCTCATGCGATCTTTTCACACTCTATGAGTTCCTTTAAAATCCCTGACCATCAGATACACACAGAAAAGTGAGTACAGAAATACATTCTTTTTTTTGGTTTGTTTTACAGAAGGTACTTTTTATTTTTTTTATTTTATTTTTTTCTATCTTTATTGTTGAATGTATTACAGATGTTCCTCATTTTCCCCCCATTCATCCCCTCCTGCCTTTTCTCACACTGTTATCTGTGTCCATTGGTTATGAATAAAAGTTCTTTGGCTTATTTCTTCCCACCCCAAACCCCCTTCCCTTTGAGGTTTGTCAGTCCAGCAACAAATTTATACTAATCCCTTCACCTTTTTCACCCATTCCCCCAACCCCCCCCCCCCCAATCTGGCAACCAACAAAAT